CAACAACAACAACAACAACAACAACAACAACAACAACAATAACAACAACAACAACAACAACAAAACCAGCAACAAGCAAAGCAAAAATATCAAGAACAACAACAAGACCAAAAGAGCAACAGTTACAGAGCAGATCCCCTTGATGTCACGACAGTTCGTACAATCGTCAATGACCCACTTTTGTTTTGTTTTTTGTTTTTTTCACCCCCAGGGATTTGTCCGGAAAGAGGTTGATGGGCAGTGCTGTCCGCAGTGTGTCCGAGGTGAGATCCTTGTCCAGCCGTCCATTTGGACTTTCATTCTTTTAACACATTCAGTAAAAATTTGTGAAATCGTATAGGTGTAACGCCCCAATCAACGCTATTGGCCTATTAAGGAGGCGGGACCTCCGAGTTTAATGTCCATCTCTGAAAGGACCGAACCAAGTGGAACATTTGTGTAAAGTGTCTTTACCAAGGACAAAACGTCGGACCGAGGAGGGACCTAAACCCCTGAGCGCACAATCTCACGACTACGGGTCCAGTAGCCTAACCAATATAGCTTGTTCTAAGGCGTATGTTAGAGTGTGGTGTTGAAGAAAATGTGTCAGCTTTTTGATGTTTTGGTGTATGCTGTAAATCCTCTAATGTTTTTTTGACCCACTTTAGGCTCACATCAAAGAAAACGTGTTGGAACCTTAGTCTGCGGTGATCTTTATGAATGGATTTTTAGATTTTGTTGGTCTCCAACTTTGAGACTCGTATGCTAAGATCTGAGAAGATTTAACAAAGCGATTTCAATAATTTATCTTGTTTTAATCGCGGTCAGACGAAAGTGAATTGGCTATTATAAGGCTTCTACGCCACCACAAATTCAGTACTCCCTTTTCTGGTCTTTCGACTACGCTTGAAAACGCGATGGGTTTTTTTGTTTGTTGTAGTAATTTTTTGTTTTGTTTTGTAAGTGTTTTACGCCACTCGTAACTGCATAAGGTAATATGAGCGCGGGACACATGAAACATTTTCAGTTTGTAGGAAATTTGGAATTTTGCCCGGATGACGGAGAAGCCTACTTTTTATCGAATTTGGACTACCAGACCATCAATGATTTATTTATAGAGGCACCAGCCATCCATGTCCAGGTGCTGTTTTAGCCTATTTGGACTACCAGGGAATTATTAACGTGCGTAACTTGCACACGGACTTCCGAGAGTTTTTTCCCTTGTCCGAGAAGGCTAGGTTTAGATCTTTCCTGATAGAAGACCAAGAGTGTGGCTGAAAGACAGCAGTAAGAAGCAAAGGAGTAGCAGTAGAAAGGATGTAGAAAGAGTCAGGAGCCCAGAGGAGGCGGCAAAGGAGTTGAGATGGGGTGGGGTCAGAAAGTGGAGACAGAAGCAGACGACAGAACATTGTTAGAGAGCAGGAAAGAAGGATGTGAAAGGAAAACATTTCAGAAAAGAAAATTTTCCGTTGCTATCCTGATTCGAACCCGGACCTATTGAATGAGCGGCGAACTCCTTAACCTCTAGATCATGAGAGCCCCCCTACGCGCTGTTTGACGGGCAGTGGTGTAGCCTGCTTATTTCCTATCAAACATTAATCCTCCGTATCTCTCCTACTTCTATTCTCTGTATGATGCTCTTTAGCAACACCTCCAATCTTCTGCAAAAATATGGAAGTGGGTGGTTGGCGGGTGCTCTGGTGTGGTTTGCTCCTTCTTTCCTATCAAACATCTATCGTCCTGATCTTTCCTCCTTATTTTTTTATGTTAGTTACTCTCTTGTAGCACCTCTAATCTTCGACACTTATATGACCTTATTGTGTCGCAAGTGCCGTAAAACTCTTACGAAAACTAAAACCATTAATTATTTGTGCTGCAAGTATCGTAAAACTCTCTCAGAAAAGTAAAAATAAACCTGCCGTTGTTGTTACAATCCTAGAACAGCTGTGCCCTCGGCCTTGTGTCCAATGCCATATAGTGATAAGTGTAAAGTATAAGAAATCTGTAAGATAATTGTATATCTTTGGCGTCGGTAGTCTAGACTTAGTGGTTATACGGGGTGCCCACTACGGCTGGATTGGGCTGATCAACGGCTCAATCGCCTGAAACTGAAAACAAACACGTATGTTTTTGAGGCGATCGAATCGGGCGATCGGGCCGATCGGCCG